CCTTCTGCACTTCCTGCACTGCCTTCTCCTCAGTGCGGCGTCTCAGCCTTCTCTCAATACCTCCAACGCCGCCTCGTCGCTCTGCTCCAAGGCCCAAACACTCCGACAAAGACATTTTTCCTCTATTGTCTAGTCTGATTTTTCAAATGCCACTTCAGATTCCTGTTTCACCGAATGCAAATAACGTGAATATGCCTTTTTTTTCCCCTGAAGAATATAATTCGTAGGAAAGCGTTTTCACGGCAACCCCAATTTAATCTCCTTTCCCCCCCCCCCAAGATCATACAAACGTTGATCTCCAGTCTCATCTGCTCAACTGTCACATCCTCCCATCCCACTGTTGCTCTAATTGCACACTGCTGAGCCCCCTCGATCGTTTCAGTATCCCTCGATAATGGCAGGATCAGAACTGAAGGCAAAAATCCTCTCCGCTGTAAAGCGGCATTACAGCCTTTCATTTCTGCTTTTGATTCTTCTGTAAAACCGAGGCGAGGAAAGCACTGGCTTATTTCTGATACAGTGATGTTGCACCACAATCTCTTATTCAGTCTGTTCTCACCCCAGTGGATTTTTGTTTGGTATATTTAACTCCAAACTTTCCAAGCAGGCACCTCCCGTTACATACTTGTTCCAGTTGCCAGTCCTACTTTGGACATATACCTTTATCACCTCGCTGAGGATAACAAGATGTTCTTAACCTTTCCGAACACTCTGCAGCCTTGATCTCACCTAACACGGGTTCTTTGGCCCTTTGATTTCACCTCAGCTTAAAAATACATCAGGAAAAGACCCTGTCTCCTTAAATTCACTAACAAAAGTTACACAGAAAAGGCCTGGGTACCGATGGCTGCAGAACACGAGAAGCACTTCTCATTTGTAAGCAGAGTTGGTAATGGTGGCTCTACACAGGGGCAGGTATTAATTTGTTTAGTGCTTGGTGGGTTTAGGGTATTTTGAGGGGTGATGGGGATTTCTCCAGGGCAGGATTTTTCTTTTTCATCGTATCTCTCTATAAGGCACTGCATCAAATGTCTTAAAACTGAACTACTGCACACCACAGCCACTGCGCTATTCTCACCCAGCAAGATAAAAACGATAACACAGAACACTACCGGATTTGTTTGCTATGACCGGCTCTCCCCTAACCCTGGTGTATCAGGCAGTAAATGCACTTTTTCCCCGCTCCAAGTGAAAGCAGATACGGTCCCCTAACATAATACCCTGTATGCAGGCTTCAAAAGAGAAGGAGCCTCATCAAATTACGCCTTGCCCGACCTAGAAGCCCTCCCAAGGCAGTTCTGCAGCTCGGCCGCTCTGCTCCCGCCGCTGGACCAGGGCACGGCAGCATGTGTCACTGCCTCGACCGATCTGGTTCCCAATCTCGCATCCCAGACATAAGATGTGCAGCTTTCCGCTGTCGTACCTCAGGAGCTGCTCCCTCAGTATTTAATCTTGTAAGCTGTTAACGAGCAGATGTGTGCTAAGTGGCGGGGTTCATCTTTTTCTGTACTCAAAATTTGCTTCCCTCTTGTTTGAATGTGACAAAGGCCACTCCTCAGGCTTCAAGTTAAAAATCATTCCATTTTAACCCAGTGAGGGTCCAGGTGGGTTTCTTCCTATTGGAAGCCTTCCTTTCCTTTAAAAATTGTTTTAGAAAATTTTGGCCAGGCGGTACCTTCGCATTTCTTTGCATTTTTATTTATTCACCGCGGCCTTAGTTTTTTCACTAAGCAAAATAAATAAAAGCCCGGAGGCAGCCAAGCCTCGTCTCCGGAGATGCAGGCAGCTGCCCCAGCCGCCTCCGTGCCAGCGCTGTGCCGCTTGGCCAGCTGCGACGCAGGGCACGCAGCCACCCTCCGGGAGGACACAGGAGGCAGCCAGGCAGAGGGGTTGCCAAACCATCATCTCCCCGAGGCCCGGCCGCCCACCCAGCCTGACCCTTCTCTCACGGGGAAGGAGCTGCCGCTGCCTTTCAGCTGTGAATTGCTGCCCCCTCCTCTCTGCTCTCCAAGAGACGATCCATTTTGTTCCCAACCGGAGCAAGAATTCGGTACGTGACTCGGATGTTCAAAGGACTCCATCAGCTAGCCACTAGCCACCCTAGGAGAAATACATATTGCTCCATGTGAAGCGGCTCATAAAGCATCCCCAGCTGATGCTAAAGCATCTTGTGCTTCTTTCGTGGGAGACGCAGATCACTGAGCTGTTGGGGCATACACAAACCCTTGGGCTTTCAGCACCAGCTAGGCCAGGGAGCCTTTTTCATGGATATTCTTCAAGACAGAAGTAATTTAAACTCCCAAACGCAACTCATCCTACAGGATCTATTTTCTGAGCAGTGTGGGAAGGTACCGGCCTGCACAACCATTTATTAGCACAAATAGGAGTGTATGTTTAACTCCGCGGAACGGGTAGAACAAAGGATTATTAAATAAAATTCCGATTAGTTCTGCTGAAAGCAAAATACCAGCTGGAGCCTGGGGTAACGCAGGCACGCTATCAGCAAACATGTGCTGCCAGCGCATCTGCACACACACACACCAGCTCTGACCACGGGGGAGCCTCAGACTGGAAGAGCAGAACCAAGGCGTCTCCGTCGCGCTCTATGCGCTGATGGCTCAGGTCTTGACCGGCGCTAGGCAAAGCCTTTGGCCCGACAGCACCCGTCGTAGCTGCATAAAAGGAATGAGAGCGACAAAACCCGAGTTTTCCCGACTCCATGCCCTCCTACTAGTAGCTGTGCTTTGTCATTTTTCCAAGTGAGAACACTGCCACTCAACACAGCTATCGCAGAGTCCCACCGCCCGGAAACACAGGCACGGCACATGGTTCTACCTACAAGGGGATGACGCCCGCAAGCCAGCCTGCCTCTAACTGCAGCCATATTCATTAACAGCCCATCGTTTAGATCCTATTGCAAAAGTTAATGAAGCCACTTTGCGAGAGGGCAGCCTCCCTGAGCAGAAGATAAATAATGTATATAAAAGGGGGCTGGGAGGGAACCGGCGCATCCTTGCAAGGTCATGCTAGAATGCATCAGTGGTTGGCTGAGGCTGGGCTCCTCTGGTAAGAAGCCTGGAGCTATTTATGACTCATGTAATTAATTAATGCCAACGGGCGTTCTGCTGCAGGCACGTGGGAGACCAAGGGGAAATACGAAGCGAGCAGGTTAGGAAATGTAGTGGAGGTGGGGGAGAAGGATGGCATTTCTTGCGGCAAGACACGCTTTGAAGTAATTATCAACAGTCCAAACAGCCAGCAGCTCTTTGGGCTACATCAGTACAAAATCAATTAGGAGCTTTAAAAATGCATTGGCTGATATTTCAGAGAGCAGCAAGAATAAGAAGTAGCCACCTGAGGTAGGGCAGTTGCCTTTCTCAGCGCCGCACACCACCAGACCCTCAGACCCCGCAGTGCGGTCCACAAATGGTGTGACCAGTAGAGGGAGCATCGTTAATGCCTTCCAAATCGTAAATGTTCTTGCATGAGGAGCATGAAGGAAGACTGACGGTTTGATTTTACAACTCTCTAAAGTCTGGGGCCAAGTCGAACAGATGCAAGAGAAAGGAGCAAAGGGCAAAGTGAAATGGGGGCATATGCCTTGAAGCTGAGTCCCTGCAGGGTCTCAGGGCTCCCAACGTATACCACCTTCCTTTTCTGGAGCGTAGCTCTCTGACACTGGGAGCTAACCAAAACTCGCTGATCACATCAAGAAAGGGACCACATCTGTGGCTTTCCTACTTCAGTTTGCAATACTGCAGCCTCACACCGAACACTCAACATGTGGCGATGCTGAGTCATGACATCGTGCTTGCACAGACCGCTGGAGGACAATGAGAGCTTAACCTAATTTTGTCCCTTTGTTTGTCCTCTGCACAGAGGAGATCAATCAGTTCCACTCCCCGCCTTCAGATCCCCAAGCATCCAGTGCCTAATACATCATACAGCAAAACTGTAAGCACAAATAAAACGCACCCTTTCCCTCCTCTGGTGCCCTAAAGTCCTTCTGGGCTGTCCAACTCCCACCCAGCCTGCATTCTCTCTCATGTCTCTTTGTCGCCAGAATATCTTCTAGCAGCTCCCAAATGTATTCATGCATTGTCCCGTCTCCCTCTTATCATAGCTGCCTGCAACAAATCCCCTCACACAATGAGGATTGCAAATTTGCTTACAAGCCAGTGCTGTTTTCCATTTTTACTTCTCCCTGCTCGTCTTTTCTCCCTGGACGCTTGCAGGGGCCAAGCACCACAGCATCAGTCTGACACTGCCATCTGGATGAGCAGCAGAGGCTGCCCGCAGTCTCAACCCTGGCCGGCAAAGCCTGGGAGGCTGCAGGATGCTCCCCGTTGAGCCTTACCCACCTCCACGGTCTGGGGGATCTTGCTTTCTACCCTCTGATCGCTGCCAAAGCCCTCAGATCCTGGCTGGTGGGACTCCCTACCGCTATCTGCTATTTTTTTGGCATAAAACCATGCAAATCAATAGCAGAGATTAAAAAGAAAGAAGAAGAGAGTAAGTTAAATGGCAGCGGGTTTTAGTTTCATACAAGTGAGAAGAACAAAAGCAACAAAGTACTCCTTTCTGGTGGGCTGAGAATCAACACGAGCCTGAGTCTCCAGGGTAAAACACGAGCGAAGTAAACGACAACACGAACACCCACTTAGCATTCCTG